TTTTTGTTTAGAAAAACGGGTAAAGGGTACCAAGAGTATGTTCTTAAACAATGCTTCCCTATATACAATATTATCCCTTAAGATATTAGTGTAAGGTTGCCACTCATTTTCGATTCAACGCAATTCATCTGAAACATCACAATATGGTTATCAAATTAAAGGTATTGTTGAGAACTTTTGTCAGAAAACAGTTTCCACCAGGGTTTCCACGCTGCTATGTAATACAAATTTTTATTTTGTTAATTTCAATCAGCATTTTTGTATGTATACACAGTACTACATATACATACATATGTGGGAGCTCTCTCCCACACCACCTGTGGCCGTTCCGGATGCACTGGTAAACCTAATAATAATAATAATAGATTGGGGCTTACACATGTGTTAGTGTTTGGCCGAGCTTCTCCTCCGATTTGTGGCGTGCGCCTTGATGTTGTCACACAAAGTGGAGGGACCTACAGTTTTACGCCGACTCCGAACCGCGATTGTATTTTTATGAGAAGCTGTTTTTCATGGCAGAAATACACTCGGAGGTTTGCCATTGCCTGCCGAGGGACGACCGCTGTTAAGAAAAAACCTACCGTTACTTAATATTTTTATCCGACGAGGGCCGTTAAGGCAACCCGTTGGCTAAAAACCCTGTATGATTTTTACTGATGGCTCCAAAACTGACGCAGGGTCTGGATCTGGAGTCTATATGAAAAGTAGAGGAGGCAATCTTCACTTCCCTCTTGTGGAACATGCTTCGTATTTCAATCCCAGGCATTTCAAGTCAAGGTATTTGCAATCTTCAAGCCCATGTACTACGTTGTGGAGAATAGGTTGAGAAGCAAGAGCTTAGGTGTCTGTACTGAAAGCCAAGCTGCACTCGTGGCACAAATACCTGAGATGGGCATAGATGAAAACCCCATTTGTCGTAGCTGCCATTCAGAGAATGAGACAGCGGAACACTTTTTGTGCTTCTGTCCCACCTTCGTAAAAATTATGAGACTATTGGTAACGATATGTTGAGAGACTTGAGCTCTTTAGAACCCAAAAATCTACCCCGATATATTCGTGAATCGTATAAATTTAAAACAGATTAAAAGAGAACACGAAACAGTAAAACGAACGGCATGTAGTCTGAGTTCCCTTTTCTGCGTTTTGAGCTGCCGATAAAAGGCAATCAGAAATGTTTGCCTAAATCATTGCAGATCAAAAAATATACATCTGCTAAATATACCTAAAGTGACCAGAAACGCACGGCCTACTTGTATCATTACATCTGTACAACTCCACACCAAACTGGTTTCCCTCTATACGAAAGCAAAGCGCTGTTGTCGTCTGTATTTAAAATGTAATTTACGGTTAAAACTGCGCTGCCAGGCCGACGAGTTTTTTACAGCCACAAATTTCTCTATTTTATTAGGTATACCCCTCTTCGAATATTTGCTCTCCCCCATCACTGGTCGAGGGAATCCCTTGTAGACAAAAACGATGATGAAACGATCTTGTAAATCGAACAACAATTACAATGCGTTCACTGATTGACTGATTGACTGATCGCAGTGATGATAGCAATTAGTGCGCCCCAAGACCTGTAATTAAAACACGAATCACTTAGCAAATTTGCGCAATTGCTGGTGGCGGCAAGACGCGCCAGTAGAACCGTGACGACGTTGACGCCGCCAACACCTCGGGCCATTAAACGCAACGACGCCGAAAGTGATGCCAATCAATGGCGAGACAACACAACTAGGCGTCAATATCTGAAAATCATCGTGATCGCAAAGCGTCAGCAGTAGGGATGTTAATTTTTTCGCTTTTTATAATCCCGGGATGTCATTATCCCAATCCCGGGATCCCGGGATTAGTCCCGGGATTTAGATATTCATTACTTTTCAACAACTTAAGTCGAAAAAATTGCTTCTATATTGTTTGGGAAGTTCTCCTACCATAAAATAAATCATAAATAAAGTGGTTTGAAACCGATTTATTTTTATAAAGTGGCGTTTTTATTTTTCCTCCCTGATGCTAGGATTAATTTTAAAGGACATTGAAATTTCAAAGAAACGACTAATACCAAAAATTATAATATATAAAAATATGGTTAGCAAATGCAAGAGGAAATTTCTTTAGAATTAAAAAAAAAAAATTTTTTTGGATTCACAAGGACGAATAGGTTATTTTTTAAGCTGATAAAGTTAGAAGGACGAAATTCGAGGATATTATCGAGTTTACATAAGTCCTTAAAATGTAATTTTTTCAAAAATAAATATTGCGAAATTTCAAGGATACAATTTTTTAAGGACATTTTCAATACTAATCAGGCTTTATGCCCCAAAGATTTGAATCTGTTTAAATTCTACAGAATTTTCTCCTTAATTTGATACCCATACTTCTACTCTAAGCACATTTCACTGATATTTTTTTGAATCATTTTTGAATTACTGACGTCAGAGTGAAAAACTAAAAACGCAATTTTTCGGATCCTAAAAAGACCGGGATTCCGGGATGCCGGGATTAACATTACTAGTCAGCAGTAACACAGGCGTCACCATCATAACCAGCATTGCCACAATGATTTTTTATTTGTTACCAATGACAAGAAATTCCCAAACTTAAGCAGGAATCACACGATTTGTACATTTGTACAGATCTGTACATTTTAAGAGTTACAGAGTGGGGTTGTTTGGCAATTTTTTTATTGAACGGAACTCATTCTCGATAAACAAATATATAGTGTGATTCCTGCTTTATTTTATGTGCAGAACTTTACAAAGGTATGTAGGTACACGGGGTGTCCTAGACCGGGTGGTTCCACCCCCTATAAAATGGAGGGAAATGTTTTTTATTGAAAACACACAAAAATATGGCCTACCGAATGGGGGATGTTCTATCTTTTGGTGGTTGTACAGTCTTCTGGTTTCGAAGTTCATTTTTTTAAATTAGACGGAAGTGCATTTTTTAGCCCCTTAATGACCTTCGAAGCTCAACTCGTTCTGGACTTCTGAAACGGACGAAAAGGTTTTAGAAAACGAAAAAATATGAATCACTCCGTCGGGGATGCTCTATCTTTTGGTGGTATTTACGACTTCCGGTTTAAAGTTATGCAAAATTCAAAATTTTTAAATTTTCTGGTTTTGAAAGTTTCCTTTTTGAATATCACAAAATCTATTATAGTTACAAAAATGATTATTGCCTTTTGAAATTATATACATATAAAAAAAATAAATTTAAATAAAAAGATATACAAAAATTTAAAATTACAAAGGTCGGCAGAGCAAACATGTATAAAAAATTTTGGCGAAATTCGTTAACATAATACCCCCAACTGATCTTAAAATGTCCTGAAGCTTTCAAAAAGGTGCTTTTCTTAAAAGATATGAATTTTTGAACTCAAGAAAGTTTTTGTTTTGCAAACTCTAAGTAAAGTTATGTTTTCATTTTAATGGTGATATTAAGGGATAGTTTAAAGAAAAAATGCATAATGAAAAAAAGAAAAATAAAAAAAATCGCAGAATTTTGAAATTAAAAACTCGTAGAAGTAAAAGTTTTAGGAATTTTTTTTTACGCATTGATCCAACTGATCGTAAAAGATCCTGAAACTTTCAAGACAATGTTTTTTAAGTTATGAAGTTTTGAACTTTAAATTTTTTTATTTAATTTGTGTAGAGTTTGTAATTTTTTTTCATAGTTCAAAGATGCATATCGTTAAAAAGGTCTTCTTGAAGATTTCAAGATCTTTGAAGATCGGTTCGAGGTATTGTATAAAAAAACTTAGCCAAAAATGAATATAAGCTAAGTTTTTGCTTTTGGGACTTTTTAAATTTCAAATTTTTGTAATTTTTATAATTTTTTAGCATTTCTTGAAATATTTTTTTTATGTATATCACTTCTAAAACGAGACCTGAACCACTTTTGTAACTATAATATGGAATCATCTCATACTTCTCGGACTAAATCTAGTAGAACTGTCAAATGGCAAAGATAAGCTTACTGCGAGTATTATTGAACGTCTCCTGATAGATTCTTTGGAGATGGAGTAAAAGTGAAGATCTCCCATTCGCGTCACAACATCAAGAAGCAGAGCACGAATTGAAAAAGCTCACCCAAACACGTAGAAAACGTTTAAGCGGCAAACATTCATTTATTGGAATCAAATATCATATCGAGGGCTTATATTCAATACCCTCTGTCTGCAATGTTCATCCCGAAATAACTTAGGATACAAATTTAAACTATTTAGGGATTTCTCTTAAACTGGAAGCCTTCGAAAAAGTCAAAATTTTTATTGAGAGGTCAATATTTATATGAAATGAAAGAACCCGGTTTGTCCGATAAAAAAAATTCGGTTAATTCGATATTCGAAAAATCAAGATTTCAAAAAAAAAACACCTCTAGATATTAAAAAAAAAACGGTGGAAACCGGTTTGGAAAAACCGAGTCAATCACCCTAGTATGTATGTATGAATGTACTTATAAATCTGTGTGTTTATTTATAGCACGGCACCACGCGAAGGCGCTTACGTTCATGGTATATTTATGGAAGGCGCCAGATGGGATATACAGCAGGGAATTATCATGGAATCGCGACTGAAAGAGCTCTATCCTCCATTGCCAGTCATCAATATACGGGTAAGAGAGCGTGCTGCCTTTGAAATTTTTGCAAATTCACAAACCACGCAAGCGGGCATGCTTCCGTTTTGCGAAAAGTTAAGAACATAGGTATGCACATTAGCGTATACATATTTATCTACATACATATGTATTTAGAGTAGAATTTAAACGAAGGTTAAAAAGATTCAAACCAAACTAGTCAACAGCCAGTGACGCCACCAAAGCCGCCAGCGTGAACGTGAGTGATGGCAAGCTACCGGGCAACAATTTTCTAGGCGTCTACAAGTACGTGCCATGTAAGTACATTAGAGTGGTCCAAAATAAGTAAAGTCTGGATTTTAATGCTCTCACCTCCTAAGATTGTTCTATATCGAATAAAAGATACACCTATTTTTTTATTTTGAAATCAAAAAATATTTAGAGGCCGCTCAAAGCGCTCAAAATTGTCCATGTATTTTATATGGGAATAACTAAATTTTTCGTAGAAATGGTATAGAATTATTGAAAATCTTTATTTTATATCGAAGACCTCTGACTCTCTGCAGAAGACTTCCAATAACCATACCCAGTTGATTATTTAACCAGTTTGTAGGACTGAAGATTTTTTATTTATCCCCCCCATTGCATTTCCTGGCATTTTCTGGGGTTTTGGCGGACCTATAATATATAGTTACTATGAAAAAATGGTTAAATAATTATTTAGTTATTATTTGAAATTTCCTGAAGGGAAGCGGAGTTTCCCGATCAGAAAATATTGATTTTCAAGAATTCTATACTATTCCTACGAAAAGTTTTTTTCTTTTTTTTCATGCAAAATACATGGAAAACTTTGAGCGTCTTGAGCGACCTCTATCTAAATATTTTTTTATTTCAAAATAAAAAAATATGGGTATATATTTTTCGAGAGCATAAAAAGTGAGGCTTTACTTTTTCACATACATTTTTGGACCACCCCAACGTACATACACATGTAGGCATGTGTAAGTGGCGTTGAACTAATTAGCAAACCTTAGAAAATTGCAAATAACTACAATAGAAATTAGAGAAAACAAAATATTTATCTGGCGTCTTTGAAATCGTGGCAATGGCGCTAAGGTATCGATAAATATATGTAGACGTAGGTACATACATAAATAGTGTAAGTGGCTCCAAACTGGTGATTGGATGCTGGCGCCATACAGAACCAAATGATATTCAAATTCTTCGCGCCACATGTTTGCATTTAATTTGTATCTATTAAATATACATACAAACATACATACGTACTAACACACAGGGAATACAATCCCGCAAATGCGAGGTCCCGCACCTTCTGGAAGCTAACAAATAATGGCACGCTCCACTGCACGCTCAGCCACAGCCGATTACGGATGCGTGCTTTCAAATGTCCAGATTGAACAAATGAAATACAATTATTGCTCTTAAATATTTAACATCATCTTTTTCGAACGTTTCGAACTTTTTCCGGAAACGAAAATAAACGACAATTGTAGTCGTTTTCTTTTCGTTTCCGGATATGGAAAATTGTTAGAGACCGCTCTGTCGTCAAAATTTACGTTTCTCTGCTGGTTGGAGATTTTCGGATTAAAGTACAAAACCGCGTAGCAGACATTTTGTGCCAAAAATTGGATTTGCTCACACAAACTCTTGGCTTAATCCATATCCACATTCGTCCTGAAATATACTAGCCTGAAATGCGATTGCTATATAAAAAAGGGAACCATTTTGAAATATGAGTGCTTTTACTCCTTAGAAAATAATGTGCAACCTCACATAGAGTTTAAACGACATAGGCTATATTTTTTTTTATTTACTAAATTTATGATTTAATGCATATGTATATTTTAACGGAAACTTATAGCCTAACTCTAACTTATTTTTCTGTTGTTTCTTTTTTTACAGGCCATTACACAGGATAAACAAGATTTGCGCAACATGTACGAATGCCCTTTGTATAAGACGCGCACGCGCGGTCCCACTTATGTTTGGACCTTTAACCTAAAAACCAAGGATAAGCCTGGCAAATGGACACTAGCTGGCGTTGCTTTACTGCTACAAACATGAATTATTTTATCTTAAACTAAACCATTATGAAAGTAGCGAAAACCCAGCGCAATTTGAAAAAATTATTGCAATGTTTTACGCTTTATACGATCCCGGGATCCCGGAATTTAGATATTCATTACTTTTCAACAACTCAAATTGAAAAAAATTGCTTCTATATTGTTTGAGAAGCTCCCCTACCATAAAATAAATAATAAATAAAGGGGTTTGAAACCGACTTTTGTTTATAAAGTGGCGTTTTTATTTTTCCTCTCTGATGCCAGGATTTATTTTAAAGGACTTTGTAATTTCAAAGATATGATTAAAATTTTTTGGTTTCACAAGCATGAATAGGTAATTTTGTAACTGCTCCAAAACTTTACCGATATAGACTTGTGAGGTATGAGTGTGAAGGTATTTTCTCACCGTTTTTACTTCTTTTCAAAAAAAAGACTCACTCACGTCCCAAATTTTTGTTTATCAAATACCAACACAACTTAATTCAACATGGAATGACACGCGTTTATCTTACCTTCCTCTTTCATACTTTGAATGAGCATATTCGCAAAGAAATTTAAAGGGTGAGAAACTGCCTTACCTCATAAGTCTAAATTGGTAAGGTTTTGAGTTATTCAAGTTTTTCTTAAAC